AGGCAATGCGCTCAGTTCCAGTCGATCCGATCTGTGGACGTCCCTTAAACGTGATTAGTATGGGATCCTCGTGTCTTATCGTCATGGTCAAGTCTGGATCAACTACTATGACAGTTAGTCCATTGGCATCAAAAGTTTTGTTTTGCAGGATTTCTACTTAGCTGCCTGGAGCTGGCACCGGGAGCCTGGCTATGATATCCTCTTCCTACAGAATTCGTGCAACATGCCGATTTATGCGAAAGATTGATACTCTTTTGCTAATCGTGATTGACTCAGGTTCTGATGCTGATTATCGTGTAGTCTATTCTGATGTTATTTCAGTCATGATAGGATGTCGGCTTTTTAAGGAGCTTCGTTCTGACCACTAACAATATGTATCTACTGTAAAAAGTAGCTACTTAAATCATATGCATATTTATCATTGATTTTGACTGCCTATATAAATTTAAATATATTTTGTGGAAAACTTAAACGAAAAAAATATTTCTTTTGTTCGTTTGCGTATAAAATTACGCCTTCTTTAAATTTTATACTTAAAGAAAGGGTATCTTTCGGTTTGAAAAAATTCTAATTATGAGCTTTTTTACGATTGTGAGGTGTTCATTCATAATACATCGTATCCATCAATTTATTAATGCTGCCTATACTGTATAAAGCATGTTCCGCACCTTTTGCAACATTTTATGAGAACCATGTGACTTCCTTCTCAATCTGTAGGCGAAAACGTACTTTTCCTTAAACAGGATATACACAGCGCGCAGTTTGTAAACCTTGAATTCGAGTGTAGCAGTCAGTAGGTTTCAAAATTATTCAGCTATTTAGAAACTTTTTTAAAACCGACAGATACCCTTTCTTTAAGTATAAAATTTAAAGAAGGCGTAATTTTTTACCAAACGAGCACAAAAAATAAGTTTTTCGTTTACGTTTTCCGTAAAATATATCTGACTTTATAAAGGCAGTCAACGTCAATGATAAATACGCATCCTAGTTAAGTAGTAACTTTCTACAACATGCATGTTTTGTGAGCGATCAGAAACAAGCTCGTTAAAAGCCGACATCCTATCATGACTGGAATAACTTCAGAACAGACTACATGATAATCAGTATCACAACTGGAGTTAATGCCGCATTACGAAAGAGTATCAATCTTTCGCATATGTCGGCATGTTGCACGAATTCTGGCGCGTACTGTACTTACCGATCTCATGTTTAGGGTTTGTCTTCGGATTAAAACACGGGGATATTTACCCTCCCTGCTATTTAGCTAATCCCGCCTTCATTATAAGGGAGAGAGTGCGGGGGGAGGGGGGTTCTATTCGTAATTCTGACCGACCTTTGAGAGGTTATTCCTTAGAAGGCGTCCGTGTGGGTTCATCAAAACTATACCGCAAAAAGAAACCCTGAAGACATTGTTTTCTTTTGAGTTTTTGGCCGAGTCAGCTTCTCGTTTTTTTTTTCACACACGCCTTTTTTGTCTACCTCCTCATGCGCACAGACTCCATCACGCCGACCTATGCCTGCGCCGTTCTCTACATTCCCAACGAGCGCTGGAAAGGTGTGCCCTTCATCCTCCGCGCCGGAAAAGGTATGTTTTCAACCCGTTATCCAGCCAACCGCATTTGACACTGTCATAGGAATGGTTGTAATATTGATTATCGGGAAGCCTCACCACAGGATATTTCAGTCAGGACAGACAGTTGGCTTTTAAACACAATTCCTTCTTTCTTTAACCTTTATCCAGTCAACTGTATTCGCAGTGATGTACGGTAGATTGCCTAGCACATGAAATGTCAACCGCAGTTCGAAACTGGGTTTTCGACTAAAAAAATCACTTAAGTAGGGTTGTACTGTTGAGTATCGTGCAGCAGCCTACTTTCAAGATATTTCCGCGATGTTTGAATGTCGGCTTTTTTTGAACGAGATTCTTTTTGGTCGCCTGTAATAGGTATGCTCTTTGGAAAGTGGCTACTCAAATGGTGTGCATTTTTCCCATTGACTTAAAGTTTCTTTTGTATTGAAGCCATACACAAAGATATCTTTTCTTGTAATTATTTGGTAGTAAATTATGTCCTCTTCAAATATTTACCTGAAATCGGAGTATCTGTGGGTCTTACAAAGTTTCTCATTATGATGGCCGCGATGGCCTCCTCCTGACATGATCCAAATACTTTCAACAGCAGGACATC